ATGTCAATCCTGATGCGAACGGCTCGAAACTCGTCGCCGGGCGACGCGCCTCGCAGTAAACGCCAAGATAATGCAAGATAGACGGATTAACTGGCGGAATGGATCAACGGCTGCCAGTAAATGCGGCGATAAGCGGGAATGCACGAAGTGGGAAGTGGAGGCGTCGCCGGTTGGGCTTCTTCAGCGCCTGATCGTCGCCTGAGATGACGCTCTTCAGGGGAAGGGATGATACTCTTCGGAGGAAATGAACGTATGAATAGGTATGATTCGATGTAAAGAGGGCTCGGATATGACTAGCAAGGGATGATGCAGATGGAGAACGGTCTCGGTTCTACACTTTTTGCCACTTTGCGAGATATGACCAACACCAAGATTTTCCTTATCACTAGATGCGGTAAGTCAGGATGCGCTCTGACATCCCTCGGAATGCGTTTGCGACAGGGACGAGGAATTTTATCATGCCGAGTTTAGCTTAAACTATCAATAAACATGGTGATAAACGGGAAATGAACGAAGGGGATAGGAACATTGTTGGAACTTTTTGCTAAATCAAGACCAAGACCGATTTCGCTGATCACTATTGATGACAGATCAGAATGATAGTTCAGACGTCGCTCAACCCTCGTTTGTGATAGGAACTGGGGGAATTTCGGCGTACCAAATTTTGCTTAAGCTGCCAAGAAATATGACAATCAGCAAGGGATGAACGATAATGTTGATACTTTCTAAGACCAAGTCCAGGACCATTTCGCTCATCAGTATTAATAACAGATCAGGATGACAGTTCAGACGTCGCTCAACACTCATTTGTGATAGGAACAGGGGTAGTTTCGGTGTACCAAGTTTCGCTTAAGCTGCCAAGAAATGTGACAATCAGCAAGGGATGAACGATAATGTTGATACTTTTTAAGACCGAGTCCAAGACCATTTCGCTCATCACTAGTTGCGGCGGGTCAGGGTGCTCCCAGACGTCCCTCGGCACGCGTTCCCGACAGGAACACGGGGAACTCCATAGCACCGGGTTTGGCCGAAGCTGCATAAGGCCGAGCCAGTAAATTACGCGTTGACTAGAGCTGACAAGCGCAATGCGTGCAGGCAGCTCGAGCGCACCGGTCGGCGTGCGTTTACGTCCCGGGGAGACCGGGACTGTCAACCGGGTGCAACCTATGAAATATGGCCGCTCGCTTAATAAAGGCGACGCCCTGATTTATCGGGGCACTCCTTTGAGGAACTCACCTACGACAGGAAGGGAAAAGACTCCTCAACCTACGGCGAACTTCCCCGTGAAGTCATAAACACGAGCTCCCCAGTGGCAAATCCGGTACCAACAATTCTACCGGTACTTGTACCCGCGACAAACAAACTGATCCATCAAAATTCCCCCAAAAATTGAATTTACCCAATTCTTCTTTTCCATGTGCACTTAACCGCAATACCGTGAAGTCAGTTCCGTAAGAACGAAGAAACGGATACACTCAGAGAGAAGAAAAGTTGGTAGACTGAAAAGAAATATGCATTGCATATTTGAAAAATGAAGTGCGTCCAAAGAGACGTCGGATTGAGTGATCTCCAATTCGTACGAATCAACATGAATTATACTTCTGGAAATAATTGTCCTTTGGAATTAAATACGATTCAAGCGACGATATACCCTCCTCCCTCTATGCGGCACTTCTTTTTCCCCGGTAATTTTCAGCATTTTCTCTTTTGTCCTGACCTTCCGCAACGTGGTTCTTCCACGTGGAGTGGATACTTACGTAAATCGAGAGACGGGGGTGTATATCAACGATAGGAGTTTCTTTCAGTCTAAAACCCTCTTTTGTCTGGGATGTACTATTATAATCGCTGAAGAAATCCTGTAGTGCTCCTTTTCCCGGGTCCAGGGATGGGATTTTTCGGCACATCCGGCGAAAATAAGAGGAGATATTCCTCGAGTTCTCGGCCCCGTTCCGCAGCGTCCTCGCGCGCTGCATGGAGATCGCCGGGCCCTCCCTCCAGGAGGGTAGCTTTTTAGGGAGGAAAAAGTGGAGGAAAGGCGACGTGGAGCTCGGCTTCGACGTGGCTCTAAAAACCTCGGGCCGTATATCTTGCCACTTCCGGGATGGCGGTGTTTTACAAAACGCCGGGCCGGCTTTCGAGAGCGCCTCGACGGGAGGCGCACCGGGCCGGGTATCAGTGCCAAACACTGGTAGTTATGTATATTAGGGGCAGTAAAACTGATGCAAATTTATTTCGAAATTCCGCGAGTGCTCCTCGTAAAGTTGTTTTAAAACTACCCTCGTAAAACGATTTGAGACCTTTTCATGGGACGGCGGCGCGCACCGGGACGCACCCCTTGGAGGGCGCCCACCGAAGTCCCGGTAATTCCGCGTCCCACGGGGCCGGGTAACGATCGCCGATCGCCAAAACGTGCGCCACCTAACCAACGACCTTTATCCCTTGCCGGGAGGCCATTTTTATCCCTTTGTCGGACCCGAGGAAATCCTCGCCCTCGCGGAACGCGCCCCGCGCGAGGAGCCTCCATGGCCTGGGATCGAGGGCCATTTACGAGGTTCTGGGGCAAACAGGCTGCCATTACTCGCACCCGGGAATTTGGAAAATATCCCTGGGAAGGGGCAGGAATCAACCCGGGAACTGGGGCGTCAAGGAAAAACGGCCTCGATCGAAGGGTACGCCGGAAAAATGGCACTCGCTTCGCTTAAAAAGCTGTACTGGAAATTCCGGAAAAGTGAACGCCCTCGACAAGACACATGGGAACGAGATATGAACCGTATCATCTATAAAAACGCTATTTTCTCGAATTTTTAGATGACAATATACTCGGTTGGGAATTTAAGGTGATGTGAAAGTGTCCACGCAGACGTCCCGTTTACGAAACTTCTCTCCGAACTGAGTGCATCGAATCGTTTCTAAGTTTACAACGTGAATACGGAAGCTGTGAGGAAGGTCCTGACCCCCATGGAATTTGAATTATTTAAACATTTATAGGTACTTAAAAATTTTTTTATTTAACATGAAATTTCATGGGCGTCGGGACCTTCCTTCTAGCCTCCATGTTCACGGTGTAAAGTTTGATACGATTCGGTACACTAAGTTCGGAGAAAAGTTTCACGAACGATCTACCTCTCGATTTCCACTTTCGCATCCCCTTAAAGAACTCGGAATCTGATGATACGTGGACGGTTGATGGCGGAGGGAATAATGAAATCCAGGCACCGAGAGCAAGGATTCCCCTTGGAATGATAATTGTAACTCTTTGGGACAGTGTTTCTTTATTTTTATTTATCTAATTCATAATGCTATCAGTAGACGAGAGAGATTAAAGACGTTGCGAAAATCCTGGGGGCGGCTCTTTTGCAAAATGGCGCAGCGCGGTCGACGGGCAACAGGTTCGCGAAGTGAAAAAACTTGGTCATGTCAATTATCTCGCCGGTTAAATAATCCGGGGGAAAAGTAACCTCGCCGAGGCGCTCGCGTACACGTAGTTCCGTAACACGGGAAACAGGGTATCAATTTTGCACGCGCCGGCAGAATCGATACGGCCGCGAAAAATGGACCCGGCCGGCGCGTTTATATACCCCGGCAACTCTTTAGCGGGAATGGCATTCCAATTTCCAGCCATGGGCGCGCTTATCCGGCCGGTAATCGATATCACTCCGGGTTAATCCGCGCCTCAAAGGAACTTATCCGGCTGCGGAAGCCGCGCCTTTGAAGTCGCGCGAAAACGCCAGGTTCTCGGAGAACAAGCCCGAAGTTGGCGGAGCCCTCCGGAACATTCGGGCTCCGAGCAACGCGCCCGTCAACTGCAGGCTTCATCGTTACATTTCGAAAGGCAGCAATGAAACGGTTAACTAAATTGCTACATGCTGGCTGTCACCGGCAGATCCATCCCCCTCGCCGCGCCCTCCCTCGCCAACCGGGGCGCCCCCTGTGATCCCCGGTTTTAGTCGCAGCGTTAAACGCGGCTCGAAAAACGATTCGCCCCGCGTTCCATGACCCAGAATATTCCGCCACCGAGGCCACTCGAGCAGAGAAACCTCTCCGAACAACTTCGGGGAAAGACACCGGACCCAACGACCAGGAAACGTCCCGCTTCCCACCCTGAAGGGCCGACCTAATGGACGGAACCGTTCTCCTACTTGTGCTTATCAAACGAATGCAAACATTCGATTGTCATCCGACATGACCTTCCTGTGGACTGGAATAGGTACCCTGGGTCGATGGGATCTTGGAATGGTACCCTGGAACGATGTTTCTTGTGCACGGGAATAGGTATGGGTCGATGGGATTTTGGAATGGTATCCTGGAACAATGTTCCTTGTGCACGGGAATAGGTATCATGGGTCGATGGGATCTTGGGATGGTACCCTGGAACAATGTTCCTTGTGCACGGGAATAGGTACCATGGGTCGATGGGATCTTGGAATGGTACCCTGGAACGATGTTTCTTGTGCACGGGAATAGGTATCATGGGTCGATGGGATCTTGGTTGGGAGCACATTTCCATGATGGCTGGTTTTCGATTGACCTATGAAATGTCAGTTCTTAAGCTGATGTGAAAGCATCAAATGTCGCATTCATGAAACTTTTCTCCGGATTGGGTGTACCGAGTCGTTTCAAACTGTACAGCGGGAACGCGGAGGCAGTATGGAAGGTTCCTCCACCCATGAAATGTTAATTTAAAAAAATTTATTTATGGACAGTTTTTACATTCTGTACAGCAAATGAAATTTCATGGGTGGAGGGACCTTCCTTGCAGTCTCCATATTCACGTGGTTAAGTTTCAAGCGAATCTGGACTCCCAGTTCGGAGAAGAGTTTCAGGAACGATTGATACTTCAGATGCCACTTTAATGTCGCCTTAAGTTTTGATAGTGGGTCCTACCAAAGAGATAATGGCGGTGATTTGTGGTTTGAGGAACGGAGAACCAAGATCCGGTCGATAGCCTAATCTCTGTGTGCTGATGGGCACCAGAAATGGTTCTACGCTGGGTTTGGGCAGTGGTGAGTGGGTTTCTTGCCAATAGCTCCTGCCAAAGGGTTGATGGCCCCGATTCACGGTTCCAGGGATCATCTACCCGGGGATGATGGTCCAAGTTTGTGGGGTAGAAATCCTGGGGAGATTATATTCGCTGCCAAGTGGAGATATCCGGAGCCTTGAGTCTGCGTCCGCTGGGCTCGCACTTGGTGCCCCTGATGATGTCGTCGACTTTCCCGTGGATGACGCGGAAGTTGACCTCGGTGGGTCTCAGGGTCTTGTTGATGGTCTTCTGCAGGCGATTGGTGTTGAACCAGAGCTCCTCCTCGCCGAAGATGTTGGTGATGACTTTGATGCCGCTGATGTACTGCAGATTGGTCTCGTCCTGGACGATGGGCACGATGTTCTCCTCCAGGAAGGGTCTCTCGATGTTCCAGCAAGCGAGGGTCGTTAGCTGAGCGAGCTGGAAGAAGAGAACCCCTTTTCGGGACATCGCTTGGACCCCGGCCTGGCTCTGTCGTTTGTATCTCGAGCGGAAGATCACAGGCTCCGAGTACTCGCTCTCTCTCAGGGTACAGACGTCTGCGAAGTTCTGATGGTAGCTGGCCAGCGAGTTGAAGTAGAGGTACCTAAAAATGGCGGCCATTAGTCCGACTCCCCCCTTGGTCGACGGGCCTGGCAGATTGCAATTTCGCCTTTGATTTATCTGGGTTAAGGACGCTACGTCATTGGGGAACGAAGCGATGTCACAACCGCTACGTGGGCATAACCGCTCACCGAACGACGTATATAAAAGCGGGAGGTCGCTCGAACAATTACCGGGTGGCCACTGCAATTATTTTTTCTTCCTCTCTCCCGTTAAGGGAATACCGCCGTCAAAAGGACCTTGTTAAAGTGAGAGCGCGGCTCGGCCACGCAAATGCCCGCCGCGTTTCTTTCTCCTACTACCAACGAGATTCCAATTTCCACCCCAGACTTTCTATAATATTCCGCCAGTGCGTGTTAACCCATGAAACCTAGGATTCTTCCGTTAAATAACTCCCCCCATCTTCAACTTCGTACCCATACCAGCAAAATACTTAATATAGTACCTAGAGCCGTAAAAAAATCTCGGCAGGGAAAGTTTTCTCACCGCGTTACCAGAATTGCCGACCAGACTTCCGATTTCTAAAAAAAACCGCGCCCGACTCCTACCGACGCTGTAAACAAATAACGCAATAAATTCTCGCAATCGCGGGATTAGCATACCCACTTAGATCGATTCGGTGGGATAAGGAAGTGGCTGATGAAAGTTAATTGGCGATGCATCGAGAAAACAGGAGATTAGGTTTCAAGCTCGCTGATTGCGACATTTCCGCCGAAACAGTGATATTAATATTCCCAATAATTCTCTCGGTTACTAAGTAACATTACGCGTTAGTTGGTCCATTTGTACCTATGTTGGAAAAATCCTGGAGGCGACAGGGACATCCCCAAAGTCCCATCGGTCAGATCGAACGTTTCTCCGGCTATGGTGATGAACATGGCGTCGTCATCGGGACCGAAGGCGTTTCCCTCGGTGTTGTTAAGTCTCCAAGAGTAATCTCGTCGCAGGTCATAGATCACCAGGCCATTTTGCTCCACATCCGCTATGTACAAATAGGCGTCGAGGCATGTCCTGCCGAGCTCGACGATCGGTGTCACCAGTGAGGCGTTCCCGAAAAGGGACTGATCATCTGGTACCACGTATTTGTGGATCAGCTGATCGGTGCTCAGGTCGAAGATTAGGATCTTGACGGGACAAACTGGCTTCGACATGGCCCTTCCAGCATCCACGACCCATAGGCGATTGCACTCATCGATCTGGACATTACGGACGCGTATTTCAATCAGGAAATTGATGGGATTAGAGGGCGGGAAATCTAGCTCGAGGGAATCAGCCTTCCACGTAAATGCTTCACCCGTATCTTCAAACATTATCGACTTTGAGAAATTAATAACAAATCACGCTTTTCCATTATTTTCCGCAATCTTAAGATGTCTCCATTTTTCTAATCATCGTCCACGTTGAACGAGAGATTTCCCTGTGAAACGTTATCTGGCTGAAACCGCGAGGAATTAATTCGCTGACCTCTTCCGTTTCTTTCTTCTTTAATTTTTTTCTTATTTTCCCGAAATTTATGCTCAGGTGGAGCGACCGGCCGTCACCTATGCTAATGAGGCTATTATGACCGAATGAGAAAGAAGGAGAAATCATCCACGTGTGACCGGTATTCGCTATCAATCAGGAAATCGTTCGTACGCCTGCAACGTTTCCGTCACTCGTACATTAGAATGTCGTCAATTGAGAAAGTGTTCTCTTAAGCCCTGCTTCGACTACGTAACTAGTGCTCTGTACTCGTGTCCTCGGTATGTCGCTAATAACAAGTCGTTAAAGTAACGCGGGAAGTGGAAGTCGATTGCATGTCGTGATACTATGACCTCTCCTAGGTGCACGCTTTCAAGATCGATAACGATACGTGTCATTTAATGACAAGATACTGCTCTCTCCTTCCTCCATCCGCTATAAATACTCGATGAGCTTTTAGGTCGAGCTTAATTAAATATTCACAAAAATAATACCATTCGAGCCAAACCTCGCTTGAAAATCGCCAAAATAAAAAAGAAGTCTGACGATTTCTACTCTTCCTAGTAACACTTTGATAACGATTTGATATGAAGAAATGAAACGCTAGGTCGTGGAATTATTCAGTGTCGAAAAACAGAGACCAGAGGGTGTTTAATTTGAAATTAAGTAAAGAATGCGAGAGAAGGAAAATTTGCCATTAAATTGCCTGATCGTCTAAGGGCTTTATTTTTCTTCGATCGAAAATTCCCTACTAGCGCGATCAGCAAGATCGATCCGTCCAATCTGGAAGAGATTTCTCCCATTCGTATGCAGCATTTCCATGCGTCATTGCATTGTTCGGTGCATATTTACCGCGAGCCTGTAGACGGACACGATGCTGTTGCAGTCGTAAGGGGTGTGCCATGCCCAGTTGGGGTAGGGAACGAGCAAAGGGCCACCAGGACCAATGGCGTCGGTCACCGTCGAGAGCACAATGGGGACGCCGTCCAGCCAACGTGGACTTGTCACGAACACGCGGCCGATCCTGTCGACGTCGACGTCCTGCGTGAACGCGTTGCCCAGTATGAACGAGCTGCCCGTCAATCCGACATTCGGTTCTACCCAGTCGAGGTACTTCCATTGGTACGCGATTTCCAGGACGGCTCCCCCGTGGCAACCCAACGCGAGAGCCAGGACGAGGCTGGCCAGGACGAGGACACCCATCTCCAGTAGCGAGGGGAAAAAGAGTCGAGATCACCGATCAACCCTCATCCGAAGACACGAGGATGATCCTTGGATGCCTCGAGAGCCTATGGACCACTCCTCTTGACTGGGGATCGATGAAGATCTGTCTTTCAAGTGGAGGTCTCCAAGGCTGAATCGAATTTTGGACTCCTATCGATTGCTCCTGGGGGTGCCGCCTCTAGGTTCTCTGCTGGTGGGTTCGACGTTAGCCCTGGCTCGCCTTTGAATCTTTAATTTCCGCTCATCCCTAGGCTTGATTGCGATCCAGACCTCGTCCGAGCTCCTCGGCGGACTCCGCGATCGGTACTGCACCGCATTGCGGGTACACCACGTGGGAAATTTCTACGGGGCCGCCACTTCCAGCACGCCTCCCGCCCGGCACACTTTCCCGGTTATGCTAATCGAAAGGTCCGGTTTACCTTCGACTGGACCCGAGCCAGACGCCTCGTGGCGAGGTATGATCCCTCCCGGTCCTGCAGCCGGCCTTGCCTAGGTGACACGGTCCTTCCCACTGCTGATCCACCTGACACGGAAGAGTGGGTTGGGTGGGACCTTACCGTCGTTTCAGAAGGTACCTCCGGGTGGGAACACGGACGTGTGGGTATTCCGGCACTGCCTTCGGGAAGTACTAGCTGTGTCACTTACCACCCACCACCTACCTTCTTAATATCTATCAGTAAATAGCATGTGGCGTTCATGACCTCTCCTGATCCTACAACTGGACCCGGTCTTTTTCACCGATTTACTCCACCCTCCACCTACGAGTAGGTTCGATGGTATCTTATCCTCCTCCTGATCGGGATATCCACCTTGGAACGCGGAAATGCGTGCCTTAGAGCAACTGCGTCCAGGAAGTACTTGGTGTGTCACCCATCCACCCTCGCAATATGTGACAGTAAATGGCGCACTTTCCGCCCCGACGCGGTAATTACGGTGAACTGGTTTAAGGGGATCTTTTTATAGTGTAATACCTTTTTACGATTTAAGTGGCAGAAATAATGCTGCCATCGGCTTCCGGCCGGTACACAAACCACACGGAAGGAACGCGCATACGACTCGAGTAATGACGGTGGGAGATTTCAAAAGGGCTCCGTACTTAAAAGGATGGCTCTTGCTACAGGGAACGTCCGGCGGTAATTCCCAGTAATTTATTTCTCACAATTACTTCGTAAGTTCGGCCTCGAGTATTAATATCATTCTTGTAACTCTCGATCCGAGGGAGATAGAATGGATTCTCGAAACGTGTACCACAAGTACCCTAAATTGATAACACAGTTAATGAAACGTCAACAAGTTCTAAGCTCTTTCATTATCTTTGTCCTAACTTTTATCACGAGAAATTTGTAATTCCGGTGCAAGTTTGTGCGGTGAATTGTGGGCATTTTGGGAGCCTTGTTGAGGGGGCAGATTGCAGACACCCGATTCGCGGTTCATGACTCCAATGATCGCGGTTATTATTTTATCCCGGCGCAATGAAATGCTCGACAAGTGGGCTCGCATAAAACAGCTGATCGACGCGCGCCATAACCTCACATTCGACGGTGCTCGCCCTGGGAAATGTCTCGTTCGGCAAGCTGCCTATAGGTGCGCGTAATTGTCGGCCCGAGAACACGGATCTTTTATGTCGGACTTAACGAGGCGAAATAAGTGCGGATCGGTGCACCGCGGATGTGTTTACGAGGCGGTAGTTGCGCAAAATTCGCGGTTTCGCGGGATCGAGAAACGAGCCTCGAGGACGCCTTCGGAACAGATGCCGATTTCGCAAGTCCTTTTTAAAATCGATCACTTGAAAGGGAACCGTCGAAAGGGACCACCTGAAATCCAAGGAGAAGCCAAGAAGGTCCTAATTAGGTGAAGGTGGCCACCTTGAGCGGCCCGTGAAAGCGATCGATTTCATGATCGAAGCCGGATCGATCGCCGATCGACGCATTGGGGACAAGATCGGAAACTGGGGCTCGGTCAGCTGTCTGAACTCATTATTATTTATAACCGGCGTAATACAACCACGACCTCGAGAATGAGCAAGAAAATTGCGGAGGATGACGAGTGAGAAATATAGCTCGTTAAATAATTAATTAATTGCAATAGATCGAGCGATCGATCGCATTTCTGCATAGATTGGGCCTCGACAAAATGACACTGTAAACAATGAAATGACTTCGAACATGTGCTGCCGAACGTTTAGTGCACTTTTTCCCCGGGAATGTTTCAAGATCTTGTAAATTGTCGTTTTTTTATGAAGGAAGGGAGAGGAATAATTTTGCAACGTGTGGGAATTCATGCCATTTTGAAATATGTAATCATTCATGTCTTGGGAAATCATTTGAAGGCATTACTGACACGAATCTCGTGACAGGAAAATCCAGACTAAGCCCGGGTACATATAATTCCGGAAAATAGAGGGGGTTGAAAGTAACCGGAGGCTGTAATTTCGATCCGGGGCGTAACTCGTGTCTCTGTAACTGCATCAACCATGCACAAAGCGTCGGTACATATTAATTCGCCTGAATAATTGAAGGAGTGAAATTGGAACTGGATCCGTCCTCCCGAGGCAGCCTTGAGCCATAAAGCGTATTTTTACAAGAGTCCGCGATGCCGCGGCCATGATGGAAAAAATTCAACCAACTATAAGTGCCATCCAGAGTAATTAGTAAAATAACCATGGGAAAGTTTGCTTCGTTACCGAACCACTGGAGTAATTACTGCCCGCTGTTAATTACTCCCTGATGCAACGAATTTTCGTTCGCTCTTTCCTCTCTGGGAAGAGCTGCAACTCTTCAGCATCTCGGATAGACGAAGTCTCATCTTCGCTAATTTTGAAAAATTAGAAATTTCCCACCGACTTTCTCTGGATCGATCAAACGATTCTTCGCCAGTTATTGAGTTTAAACAGTTTCGCGATCTCGTCTCTCGGACTTATTCCGGAAAATTAGAGGCTCCTTAAAAATTCTCAGTAATCCCTTCATAAACTAGTCCCTGATGCAACGAAACTTTCGCCACTCCTTCTCACGATTAATAAATCCCAATTTTTAAACCGCGATACAGAAAAACCGAGTCTCATCGTGGCTCATTCCGAAATAACCGCAATTTTCCGCAAATTGGGAGATTTCGCCAGGAAAATTGAACGTTTTCCAACAAGAACACAGAAATGGCTCTATTGTTTCTTCATTAAGTACTTTATTACGTCCCTTGTGCCCTTACTTACTCCTAAATTATATTGTTAATTCCTAATGATCGAAATTTCACCCACCGAAATTCTCCAACATCCTTTCAGGACGATCTTTCATTTTCATTAATTTCCCGAAATCTGACCGTTTCGCCGAATTTTACTCAGGTCGGGTTTTCGCGTGGAATGTAAAAGGTCCTTTTAAAAATTCTTCCGGCATACGCATTGTGCGCACTAAGTGCCCAGAAGGTACTTGGGCAATAAACGAGATCGGCATCGAAAGTGGCCGACGCCTACGCGAAGTGAGTAACTCGAACGTGCATTGGCATTCGCGGAATCGCGGGGGCCCGACATGTCGGTAATTCGAACACCCGTGTGTTCGAATACGCATGCACGATACGTACTAGTACACGCAAAAGTACTCGGAGCCGCAATTACGATACCACGCAACGCGACCATAAGCGCGTGGCTTTTCGCGGCGCGGAGTCCGACTTTTTGCGGCCACTTTCTCGGGCAGCAGCGTCGTTTCTGTCGGGCGTTTAATTACTTTCAGCTGCTTAAAATGGATAATTACACAAAATAGTGGCACGATTCTAATGGGCGCATCGGGATCCTCGGCGTTCGAAAAAAAAAGTTACGTTTCACTCGAGGGGAAAAAAATGACCGACGACGGAGGAGACCGATGAGAGAAGGGAATTAAATCCAGTCAAAAGGAAGGAGAATATTTTCCTCAAACAATTTTTCCAATTCGGGAATCACATTCTAAAGGTCGATTCGAACATGTTCATGCCATGTCCGTGACATCCAAAGTCGTAGTTTTCCTCCTCTTTTCGCCCTGGTTCACTCGAGTTCTATTTTCGACTTTATACGTCCAAATGAATAGAAATGCACTCTTTCTTTACGATCCGGATTTTGGATTTTTTATAAATTACTTTTAAAATACCTATAAAAAAATTTGAAAAGAATTGAAATTCCATGAGTTTCAGGACCATCCTTATAGTCTCCCTATTCACGTTGCAAGGTTTCAAACTATTCGGTAAACCGAGTTGGGAGAAAAGTTTTTTAAACGATACCTCTTCGGCGCGACTTTCACGTCGCCTTAAGTAAGGAAGGGCAAAATGGATAAAATGGATCCGGGCCGCGTCTTCGACGCGGCAAGCCGCGCGCGATGGAAGAGGCGTTTTCCGCCCTCTCCCTCTGGCCGCCTTCCGAACGATAAATCACCTCCCCGAATCACGGTTAAACCGTACCAGAAGACGAATGGGTGGCTAATTTCAATTTTAATATAAAGTCCGGCTATCAGGCGGCCGTGAATTACGGGAAGCAAGGCGGACGTGTCCCGGACCGTACGTCTTACTCAGGTCGGGACTGATAGAATTCAGCGCGGAAAATAGAAGCACCGTTCTTGACCGGATCCAATACGGCGGAGATGAATTATTCGACACCCTTAACAAATGGAAAGCGTTTCCACGTGAAAACCACCGAAGGCACAGAAATAATACAAAATTGCGTATTATCAATATACTGTTCTTTCTTTTTCTCCCCAATGTACTTTGAAGGAAAAAGAGAAGTCTTTGCAGCTTCGAGTACGGCAAGAAATTAATTTACCAATTACTAGATTTTCTGCGAGCAGTTCATTACGATATCGCGAATGTATTGTAATACCTTGAAATGCAAATATGCAAAATTCCGACTATTTAATTAAAAAATATATGTATTCATATGTAATGCCGGGAGAACCAATTTACGGTGGCCAATTTAAAGTTCCTGCACATAAATCAACTCGTAGAGCAGCTATGATCAATCGGTACCA